CCTAACGCAAAAGAAAAGCGAGAAAGAAATTCTACAATAGGGAAAACTAATATTACCCTGTTGCTTCAGTTTTCGTATAATAGTCTTGCAATTGTGTTGCATATTTTAATTCAAAATCTCCTTAATGCGGATGGGAACGGCCATGAAAGAAGAAAACATCCTAGTACAAAAGAAAAGCGAGAAAGAAATTCTACAACAGGAAGAACTACTAGTACTCTATTGCTTCAGTGTTTGTATAATAGTCATGCAATTGTGTTATGCATTTAATTCAAGAACCTCCTTATGTATTACAGGTGGGAAGACGTAAAACTTACACCTCCGCAAGGGAAAGAAATGTCATATATGTTAGAGTATAAAATTACAACCCTCAACCCTCCCCGTAGCATGGCGCAGTGGCAGGGACTTTTGACATGGTACCATAACGACCCCGGTTCACTTGCCACATTCAAGCATCAGGCTTGGGATCCCTTTGTGACAATCTATTAGACCTTGCAAGTGCTAATTTACTAGCGCATTTATTCTCTAACCCTCTTTAGCACCAACTAGTATGCAGCACCGCTCGGCAAGTTAGAATTTCTGGGACTTCAACCAAATTTCACAAGTTCATCTAACAATTATATGGCGTCAAATTGTTCACACTCGAGAGGACGCGGAGTTTCATAGTTCGATCCCGAAATTCCTAATCGGCTACCATTCATAAAATTCATGCTCTCAGGTGGCACTAAACTTAAATTTCAACACATCAACCTCAAGGGCCTATGAGACGTTAAAGTTCGAAAGCTAGAGAGGTATCATACTAGATAGATTATGAGAGAAATGTAAATACGTAGTTCGCAATGCTGCACAAACTCGAATCCAATTCAGCTATCTGAAACAAATATTCAGATCCAGAAGCCACCACACATGAAAAAATGTAACAACATAGGGAAACAAAGATAAAGAACGCAAAAAGAAAGAAGCTCGATATATACCTAGTAATCCACCTTCGGTTCAATTTGGGTGCCTAATGATTCTCTGCAACACAACAGTCCTCGCCCTCCTTATGTCCCTACTGCACCGATCAGCTTGCTTCCTCAAATCCTCAACACCCCTCATGAACATCTCAAGCTTCTCTTTTATCTCCTCAATCACAAACTTCACTGCCTCCTCTTCTCCAAGAACAAACTCAACCTTCTCCAGCAGAGACCCAATCTGAACTTCCAACCGATCCACGAGAACCCGAATGCTCTCCAAATCCGAGATTGTGACAAAAGTCCCAACCTGCATTGAGTTAAGTAACTCCCTTTGTGCCTTCAAAGCATTCACATAATCGTTCCAAAGTGAGTTGAGCCATTTCCCCATTGGACCCATAGCAGCTGCTGCTGATGCTAATAATGCAGTGGCAAAAGCCGGTGCTGAAACTGCAGCGACCACCACAGAGCAAATAAGAACCAGCGCAAACACGGACACAAAGATCACAGTAGAAATCTTCCTCCACGCTTTCGTCGATTTGAGCTTTTTATCGAGCTTCCTCTTCTTCTTTTGTAGCTTCTCCAGCAATGAAACCTGCTGTTTGTAAACCGATTGGAACGTGTTAAAGAATTCTTCGGTAAACGGATCGCCTAGAGCCTTAAAATGCCTTAGTTCCTCCAACATTTTCTCATACTTTCCCCTACTACTTTCTCCATTTCTTCCCTCTTTTTCTTCGAATCCTCTGAGAGCGATGCTAAGGATAATCTGGGAGTCTCGGGCTCTCTTGAGGCACCTCTCTAAAGAAGTGCAGAAATCTAAAGTCTGAAGAGAGCTATCAAAGTACTCTTCAACTATGTTAAAGAGCTCAGCATTCTTCCAAATGTCTTTCTTGTATTCCAATATGATCTTGACTACTTCTAGGTTCATGTCGAGGAGGCAGCCCGTGACCTCGGTGAGGGTGTCGAATGAGAGGGAGTGGACATCGACGCCCGTGGCCAGGGTTGAGATGACGTGGCTGGCTCGGCGCTGGAGGGTGGCGTCGAAGGACTGCAGCTCAGGGTCTTGGAGACAAGCAGCTTCATAGGAGCTCAGCTCTGAGACTAACTCAATGTTGTTGGCGGCGGCGGAGGAGGAGGAGGAGGGGGTGGTTCTTGCTGAATGGACTACCCATCTTGAATGAGATATCAAATGAGGGGGGGAAAGTGATTTTCTTGAGGATGAAACTCTGGAATTTAAAGGGGAGACTCTAAATTTGGGAAATTATCGAGTTTGTAGGGGAAAGATTGAACTTGGAGTCTACAGTTAGTTAAATCAGAGCTCCAAGCAAACCAAAACCCCCGGAGAAACAAGAAAGCTTAAATATTAAGGCAAAAAAAAAACTGCTTTTTTTTTTGTCTTCTAGAGTTGTAGGAAAAGCTGGAACCTAGAAGCTAGAGCCAAACGAAAGTATTACAAAAAGACCACAGTTTTCATGCTTAAACACGAAGTAACTAAATTTGACTTGAAAGAATGGATAATGAAGAAACCTGAAGGCTACCCAGATGAAGAAGAGAAGCCATCTATGACATGAACACAGAAAGGTGAAAGCTTTCTGAGTGTTTTAATGGTTCAGGGTAGAGAAAACAGCAAGAAACAGAGGCCAGCGCAGGAACTAAAGCAAGAGAACGATGAAGGTACAAGCAATGGAGAATTGGAAAATGTGGATCTCCCTCCCTCCCCTCCGTCCCTCCCTCCCTCTCTCTCTCTCTCTCTCTCTCTCTCTCTCTCTTCTTTAGCTTGTGAAATGAAAAGAGAAGGAAACTGGGGAGATTCCCCCTTTTGGGGTTGTCTTTGTGTGGGCGAATGAGCGCATGCTATTAATAACTGTGGAGTGTTTAACTTTTTTTTGAGGGAAAGAATAGTGTACGAAATACAGTAGAGAAGCTTGCATTGCAAGGTTGGTTACAGTTCGGTTTGGGGCGAAAGTTGGGGGGGGTTGGAGATTGGGAAGTGTGTTGGCAGTGATAAAATGTTTGACATTGACTTAAGCGCGAAGAAACGGTGGGATGTAACTGTTACTGTTATTAATAAGCGAATTTTTCCATGTGCTTTAAAGTTTTACTACTTGTTAAGGAAAGGATAATGTTTTTGGTAGCACTTACATCCCCTCCAAGTTTCTAAAGTTCGCATTTTAATACCTTCAGTTACGCAAATATGAGAATTTTTCTCGAAATATCGCCTTGTGACACTCGCAAAAGCTAATTTCAGAACTTTTTAACCCTTTTGTGTTTGTTGAATTTAGTGTTAAGCCTATCCTAATTCAATCTTAAACATGTCTTCCAGTTAAAAAGAATTATGATGGGTTCCAAAGTAGCTTTAACAAACATGTTATGGCGCTTTTAGTCGCTAAACTGTGACCCTTTGCCAACAACGGGCAGGTGTCTCCCGACATGCACCGTTCAAATCAAATTGACGACCATGATGTTAGTCTAAGTGTAGACCCAAAGCTAAAGCCGAAGCTGGAATCAAGAAGATGAAGCAAAACGAAGGAAATAAAAAAAAAACTGCAGTGCGATCGACCGCGGTGCTCTCGGCGATCGACCGCAAACGTGCACGCGACTGAGAAAAGTCTCTGAACTTTTTGCGGTAGACCGCGATGGGTTCTGCGATCGACCGGAGATACCCTGTAGGCGTTTTGGGTTCCTGTCGTTTATCCGGTAGACCGCGACTGGTTCGACGATCGACCTCGAGTCAAGCTGGCAGTTTCCTAATCTGTTTTGAATTCTGTTTGGGCTGCGATTCATATATATATCTATATGTTTTCTAGGGCTAATGAAAACGTGAAAACCCATCAGAAAGAGAAAAAAGAGAGAGAGAATCTCAAAGAGATTAATCCCTTATTTGAGTGCTTGTATTCCTTTAATCAAAGAGATTTTGTGGTGTGGCTCCCGAGGACGTAGGCATGTTGCCAAACCTCGTTAAATTCGTATGTTCTCCCTTGTTCTTATTTTTGTAAGTTTTTACCTTTGATTTATGGTGAATTTCTTTCTTGCTCAACTAGATCCAGAAAGGTAAGGGTTCGATTTGATTGTTTTGAATTCCCAACAATTAGTATCAGAGCTTCGTTTAGCAATTTGTGAGAAAGCTATGACAGAGGAAATCAAATCTAAGATCGAAAAGTTTGACGGTTCAGACTTTGCCTACTAGAAGTTGCAGATAGAGAACTATCTGTACCAGAAGGACTTGTATCGCCCGTTGATGGGCAAGGATAAGGGACAGAAGAAAGAGGAGTCAGACGTTGATTGGGAGATACTGGATAGGAAGACTCTAGGAAAAATCCGATTGTCACTCATCAAGACAGTAGCCCACAATATCTTGAAGGAGAAGACGACGGTAGGGCTTATAGAAGCGCTAGTGAATATGTACGAGCAACCGTTTGTAGCAAACAATGTGCATCTGATAAAAACTCTTTTCAACCTCAAGATGACAGAAGGACGGTCCTTCACGATGCACCTCAACAAGTTCAACACAATTGTTGATCAGCTTATCTCCGTAGACGTCATGTTCGATGACGAAATGTAGGCCCTTTTATTACTATCGCAGTTGCCGGATAGTTGAGCGGTTGTGTGACGGCAATCAGCAATTCAATGGGGAAGGAAAAGTTGAAGCTGAGTGAGGTGGCCAGTATGATTCTTTCCGAGGAAGTTAAAAGAAAAGCGTCCGAAACAGAAGGTTCAGGTTCAGCTCTAAACTTCGAGTAGAGAGGCGAAAGCCAGAAGAAAGGGAAACAGAACAAAAATCGGTCGAAGTCAGTGAAGAAGAGGTCGAACTCGAAGGTTAGACCTATCAAAGGAAAGTGTTGAAACTGCGGCCAGGAGGGTCATATGTCTTCAGTCTGTAAAAGTCCTAAGAAGGATGCGGGTGAGCATGAGGCTCATATCGTGCAGGATGCTTTGATCCTTGTTATGGACAGCGATTCGGATTCTTAGATCATCGACTCAGGAGCATCTTTCCACGCCACTGCTAATAAAAAGCTTCTTCAGAATTATGTAGCAGGAGACTTTGGAAAAGTGTATTTGGGGGACAATGAGCCCTGTAATATTATTGGAAAGGGCGATGTGCAGATTCAGATAAAGGGCTCTAAGTGGATCTTGAAGAATGTGAGACATGTATCAAAGCTGAAGAGGAATCTTGTTTTGGTGGGATAGCTTAGAGAAGAATGCTATGTTTCGGCATTCACAAGGGATTCATGAAGAATCTCCAATGGTACGATGGTAGTTGCCCGAGGCAACAAATTAGCTAGGGACTCTCTATCTCACCTCACATGTGAGTGACACCATCACAATTGCAGCTAGTAGAGAGAGTACAGATCTGTGGCACAACAGACTAGGGCACATGAGTGAGAAAGGGATGAAGATCTTGCATTCACAGAGAAAGCTAACCGGGATCAACTCCGTGGAAGTCGGGATTTGTGAAGACTGCATCTTTGGGAAGCAGAAGAGAGTTAGTTTCCAGAAGGGTGGAATGCTACCTAAGGCTCAGAAGTTAGAGTTGATTCATACAGATGTACGGGGTCCAGCCAGTGTGTCTTTTTTTGGTGGTTCGAGATACTATGTCACCTTTATCGACGATCAATCAAGGAAGGTGTGGATTTATTTCATGAAGCACAAGTCAGATGTGTTCGGAGTCTTCAAGAAGTGGAAGGCTATGGTGGAGAACGAGACATATCTGAAGGTGAAGTATCTGAGATCAGACAATGATGGAGAATACGAGCTGGAGGAGTTCAAGAGATTCTGTGCTACGAATGATATTCGCTTAGAGAGGACTACTCCAGGAACGCCGTAGCAGAACGACATTGCGGAGAGGATGAACAGGACCTTGACGGAGCGTGCCAGGAGCATGCGATTACATGCAGGTCTGCCTAAGACATGTTGGGCGGATGCGGTGCATACATCAGTTTACCTTATTAATCATGGACCATCAGTTCCATTAGATTTTAGGATTCCAGAGGAGGTTTGGAGTGGAAAGACGATAAATCTCTCACACTTGCAGGTATTTGGTTGCGTGGCTTATGTTCATATTAGTGACCATGCCAGGGACAAGCTAGAAGCTAAGTCACAAAAGTGCATATTTTTTGGATGCGACATGAATGAGTTCGAGTATCGTCTTTGGGATGAGAAGAACATGAAGATTATCAGGAGCCGAGACATCATATTCAATGAGGAGGTGATGTACAAGGATAGGAAAAATGCTAAGGATAGACAAAGTAGTGGGAGCAGCACTTCGAATGCAGGTGAATCCGAGTACATGGATTTAGAGGAACTTCTAGATAGGGTGATGATGTTTGTTCTGACCGAAGAACAGAGGAGGCTCCAGGTGCAGAAGTAAGTACCCAGGGCGTGGAGCTTAGGAGGTCATCCAGGGTACCTAAACCAAATCCTAGATATCTTTCATCTCTTGATTACTTATTGTTGACAGATAGCGGTGAGCCGAAGTACTATAAGGAGGCTATGCAAGTGAGTGAATCTCAGCAGTGGGAGCATGTGATGCAGGAGGAGATAGATTCTCTACTCACTAATGAGACATGGGAATTAGCCCAGCTACCTGCACAGAAAAAGACCTTTTATAACAAATGGGTCTACCGGGTCAAGCAAGAGAGTGATGGAAACAAGAGGTTTAAGATCAGATTAGTTGTAAAGGAGTTCTAACAGCGGGAAAAGAGTGGACTACACGGAGATATTTTCCCCTGTTGTAAAGCTCACAACCATCAGGGTAGTGTTGAGCTTGGTGGCTAGAGATTACCTCTTCATTGAGTAGTTAGATGTGAAGACTGCATTTCTTCGTGGTGACTTGGATAAAGAAATCTACATGAAGTAACATGTTGGCTTCATTGAAGAAGGAAAGAAAGAGATGGTGTGCAAGCTCAAAAAGAGCTTATATGGTTTGAAACAAGCTCCGAGACAGTGGTACAAGAAGTTTGATAACTTCATGAAAAATAATGGCTACAGAAGATGCAATTCGGATCATTGCTGCTATTTCAAGAGGTTCGAGTCCAACTTTATTATATTGTCATTATATATTGATGACATGTTAGTAGCAGGACCGTGTTTAGAGGAGATAAACAGTTTGAAGAAGCAGCTGGCAAAGGAGTTTGCAATGAATAATCTGAGTGCAG